AAGTCTCTTTCTGTATTGTAGTGTTTGGGGCTGAAATCCCTGTCTGTGTTGTTGGGATCTGGGCTGAAATTCCTCCCGGGGTTGTTAATATAGAGTCACCACCTGTAGTTAAATTCACAGTAGTTGCAGGAGGTGGCTGTGTCAAAGATGACATTTCTGTAGTTGTACTTTGGAGATGAGTACTTGATGTAGGTGACATAAACTCTGTGGTATTTGGTGTTCTCACTCCACCTGCAGCTGTTCCTTCTGTTGTGGTAATGGTGCTTGACTGTTTGGTAGCAGCAGCTGCAATCAAATTAATTTGAAGTACATTTTTCTCAATTACAGGCCACTGTCTATTGTGAATGGCAGTGTTGAAAATGATTTCCTTGATGTAAAAGTGAGTAATGAGTGGACAGATATAGATTGTTGTGTCTTGTGTAATAGAAAACAAAAAGTTATAATATAACTTTGCTGACATAGTAAATACATACAATTTATAAATAAATAACACAAACTTACCCCCACGGCAAACAAAATTGAGTTGGTTACTGCAGCTTTGCTCATTCCACTTCCCATTATCTTGAAATACTGCAGCAACACAATCCTGATTTGGAAGATAGCTGGGCTGAGAAGCTCTCCAGAAACGAAAAGATGAGTTACTTCCATCCGACCATTTCCAGGGGTCTTTGAACAGCCCAATCCAGACAGTCTGTGATGCAGACACGTTGAGCACTGCCATATTCTCTGCTTCAGAGTGTATGCTAACTAGATCAGATGGCAAGCCCCTGCAATGACTCCGAGCATCCCACCATGATTTGGACTCATTAACAAAAATGAAATCACCAGTATGTGTTCCTGTAATGTAATTAAATGTATTATTATTATTATTATTATTGTTATTATTGATCTCTGAAATAAATTATTGTAATTTTACTTACCTTGACAAACAAACTTTCTTAGAACTCCACAGGCACTGACAAACCACCCACCAAATTGATCCATTGCTGCACATTCTTCTTGCTTATTTGTTATTACTTCTCCTGATTTCCACTTAAAAAAATCTGTTACTTGACCAGGCAAAGACCAATGCCACATCCACACAGCTCCGATCTCCAGTCCTATCCAAGTGTTTTCAGTTATATTTGAAGCTAAAGAAACCAGATTATTTATATCTTCTAAGTTGTAAATTGTTGCTAAATCAGTGTACATATCTCTGCAATAACTCTTGGCTTGTGTGTAGTTCTCAGTGAGAGTAATAAGGTGAAAGTCTGAAGATCCCAGTGTGAAAAAGCAAAAAACTGTGGAAGTACAGAAAAATATTTGTTTTTTATCATGTTATGTTTAATCAAACTTTATATAACTAAATTTATATAAATTGTAAATACAAATGTATCATACTAACCTGACAAAAAAGTCAAATAAGCAGCAGAGGTCCTTTTCATCGTGGTTAGTCTATTGTTTTCAGTCATGATGACAAACTGCAAAGCAACAAGCCAAAAGATGTTACACGTATAATACTGCTCACCATATTGCTCTGTTCTGATCAGCTGCTGCTCCTATAAGGTGCAAGCAGTTTCAGGCAGCACAGTGTTTGCAGGAGGAATGTCACCTGGCTTGTTAACAGCCACCTTCTCACAAAGTAACAAAAAGCAAAGCAGTTTTTCAAGTTCATGTTTTGATTGCCTGCATACTGTAGGCCATATGAGTTTTCTTGTTTGTTGAGATGAATTTATATGAGAATATTCACCAGGTAGGTCTAGAATGCAGGTGTCAATGTCTAGTTGTTCTAACTGAAATAAACCAAATTTGTTTTGCTTGTAAAATGTCCTGCAAATGGTACAAAATAAACTGAACCTCAGCTTATGAGGGTTTAGGAGGCAGTGCAACTAATTCACAAGAACAAAAGTGCAAGTCATTCTCCAGCCCAGGAAAAAAAAACGTTGGACAAAAATGGTCTTTAGAGGAACAGAACACTGTGTTCAATATTTTGAATAGTGGAAAATATTACTGCACAAATAAATCACTGGTGCAAGAACAAGTTGTGCAATACTGTATATACCCCTTCCTTCTGTCAAAGGGAAAACATTCCAACTCTTTTTGTAGGTGTGGCTGTTTAAAACAGCTTGCTCAGATTCTTAAATAATAGCATGCCACAATTGGGCTACGCAAAAACCACACACAGTTTCTGGCTGAATTTACTACTGTTTACTTACATTTTTGTTTACCACTCCCCCTATCATACCCAAAACAATCACTCGCTTGTATTTGAGCAGGTATGAAATGTTCAGTGTTTCTTGAATGCATCACGTATGGCTCGTTTATATACCCTTTGATGTTGTGTATTTTTGGAGCGTAGTGTGCTGAATTTGATAACAGTATATATTGAGAAGATAGATATTATTTAAACTCAAATACTGCATACAATTGTGACGCGATAACCGCCAACCAAATTAACTGTGATTAAATACTAAATCAAGCTGAACCTCTGCAGCAGTGGTGTCATATGACGGTGCTGTTATGGGTGGTCCCGTGGGACATTTTGGCTCAAGTCGATTGTGGCACTGAGCCATCATGGCCTGTAAACAACAACAGCTTCTGACCGAAGCAAACTGTGTCTGAGACTCGGCCTTTATCTAGAAGTGATTCTCAACAATGCTTCGAAGGTGTGTCTGGTATGTAATTCCAACCTTCCAACAACCATGAGGTAGTTGTGAACGGTCGCTTCCTTGGGGTATTACCCCTGAATCTAGCATCGAGCTAATGTTGGCTATATTAGCCGTAAATTAAGCTAACAAGCTAATCTTAGCAAATGCATGTCGAGCGGATTGTCGATTATTATGCAACATTTTTAGATGCGAAACAAGGTCTGTTTGCTATATCCCAGTTTTACAAAAAAGCTACAGAAGGTAGTATCACTTAGACGTGTGAAAACCAAAGCTAATGTTTGCTAATGTTGTTGTATAGCATGGATCTTTGAAGCCGAAGAGTTGCAGCTAACGAGCTATCGATAAAGGCAAACTCCGACATTGTCTATTTGTCGTAATTAGTTAGGCGTTGTAGTTTTTGCAGA